GTATTATGACTATGAATGCTTACTGAATAGATTTTCGCTGAAGCTTTTATCACACAGAAGAACAGTCCTTGACTTGGTATTCCTGCATAAGATCATTAATGGTGCCATTGATTCTTCATGGCTTATTAGTAAAATCCATTTCCATGTTCCTTTCCGTGCGACGAGACAGCTCACCTGTTTAGATATTTGCTCACCGTGCCGTGTGTCACCTCTTTCTCGTTTACAGACATTGTATAACAGCATTGTGCCACCTCAAGTTGACATCACCACACCCCTGCCTACATTTCGCTATCAGTTGGACGAACTTTTCGTCACTTCATAGCGCGTCAGTGTATATGCATATCTATTTCTTTTTAATGAGTAGGATTTTTGTTTAAGAGTTTTTATTGTACGAGTTGGTGTACCTAAGAGAAGGCCGCTCGGCCGTTTTAGGGCACCCGAAAAATAAAGATTATTATTATTATTATTATTATTGAACGTGGACTAATTAAGGTTTTGAACGCGATACATATGTGGCATTACTCTTTTTAGGTTTTACCAACCTGCTTCATATAAATATTTTATTCAAGAAGATTGTGGGTTTGCATTCCTGGATATTTAATATTATCTATGCACTTTAATTTTGTAAATGAGCATTGGTTGAAACTCTTTTCTTGCAGATTACTTTCAACAAGTTTTTTTCTCGGATCTCTAAAGGATTAGATTCACGTTTGTAACATCCAGAATAGTTATAATAATCATAACAATATAACTATAACAATGTATCTAACAATTATTTTTATTGACTTATAACAACAATAGTATTTTTGTTAAACTTGAAGTGCAGTTTTTTTTTTTTTTTTTGTTAACTGGATTAAACCATAAGACGCACCAATTTTCTTAGGTGATCAGTCTGAAGGGGCTTCAACAGAGACAACGACAGGTCTGAAGATATGTGTTTTTCTCCAAACTTGAACAGAAACAGAGGTTGACAATTCGTGCTTCGTTTGTGCAATAAACCCTCCTGCTTAAAAAAAACAAAAAAAACATGAACCGCTGCTTTCGTCACGAGTGACGTCCTGTCGCCCCGTTTTTGCGCGCCTGTCGAGCTTGAGTATGTCGCCAATGGTTGAAAGCATCAATGCTACACGGAAAACAAAGTCCGAGATCTAGCGAGGGCCTTGGGTCGTACGATTTAACGTCTTGGAGGAGACAACCCGGTTCACAAGAATATTCGGACATTTTGAACAGATCTCGCGCTTCTTGGTTCTATTGGCGTTCACCTGGATAATTAGTGGTAAAATGCTTTATTAGCGTTTCAAGGAACTGTGTTCAGAGAAGCTTTGTGCATTGTTTTTTTTTTTTTTATAAACGGGAAGTTCGCTGGTACGTCAAAGGACTGGAGCACCGCCTGGTGGCGTAGGCAAATGAGAGGGTCTGTACGGTATGATACGTCAACATAATAAATATATCCGGTATTCAAATATAACAATAAGAAGAACCCGTAAGCACTCACACACACAGTGATATACAAGGAAGGTGAACGTTGAAATCAGGCAATATGCCGCTAACGAAATTTCAAATATTGTCTAACGCAAATATAAATGCGAACGGGAAGACTCCTGATTGTCATTACAACCCGAGAAAAAAGTATTTGTAAACAAAATAGTGGGTCCTGCGGTATATCGGGTGAACCTCCCATCTCAAAGCCACAGGGAGATTATGATGCGCAGGGCGATGCAAGTTCCCTACATCTTATTATCGGTCCGCAGCCAATCAGAATGCGGCATCGGCCGATAAAAACATAGAAGAACTAATGACGAGGCAGGAAGCGTGAACGTTACAGTTTCTGCTTACCCGCCTAACTGCAGGTATTAAATTCCATAAATCTGTCGAACGAACGGCCAGCCGAGTTCTGTACAGTACGACAACTCGGAATTGAGTGGCTAAAGATAAAGTGTATTCTCTTTCTTCGTACAATTTGCTTTTGCGATGACATAGGCTGCTCAGTAATGGTCATATGATCCAACTAGGACACGATTGTTCTTCTTACGGCGCGTTCTCGCGGTGATCGGCTTAGTGTGAAGGGCTTCATTTTTTACAGCCTATGAGTTACTTGTGTACCGTTCTCTTGGCCAATGTTTTATTACATTCAGTTGGTGTGATAGAATAAAGAACAAAACTAAGCATTAAAAGAAAAAAAATATATATATTAAAAAAAAAGTTTGGAGCATGAGACGTTTTGTTTTAAGGTTTGTTGAAATATGACCGTTCGAAGCTTCTCTTTTTAAATTCACTAATTTTTGTAAACCGCATGAAAATTAAAATATAAGTGAATTTGTGCGGAGTTCTACTAAGTCATTTTAGCTGTTTTGGGGACGAAAAAGCTGATTGATACGAAACAAAACAAAAAAAAACAAAAAAAACAATGACTTGCTATCTTAATGCTTCTTCCTATTATTTGCGTTTAGGAAGATTTCGGGAGAGGGGGGGGGGGGGGGTGGAGTCGCTTTGTACAGTGTAAGGAAGAACGCTTAAAGAAATGTAATATTGTGAAGAAATATATCTTCGCTCAGTTACTAGTGTCTCGATACTTTTCTAGTGACCCTTGTATTCGATGATTATCCCACTTCATAAAACAAATTGTGGATGGCTGGGAATATTTTTACGATATTGATGGACCAGAGGAAAAAAAAAACATTTTTCTATCGGTTAAACCAGTAGTAAAAAAGATCGCATCTCCACGTCGTGAATGATGTTGATTGGGGCGAAGCTCTGGTGGTGCTGATGATACTGATTCTGTTTATAGGTAGTGCTGATGGTGCTTATTTTTTTATTGCTCGTTTCATGCAACGTTTCATCCATGACATCCCCAGCTCTTGAGTTACTACCACATCTCAGAGCCCCCTACTCGTCCCGCAGTCGTGGCCGAGTGGTTAAGGCGATGGACTAGAAATCCGTTGGGGTCTCCCCGCACAGGTTCGAATCCTGTCGACTGCGCAAACATTTTCAGTTTTTTTAAGAAGTCAGATGGGATGGCAATCGATGTGAGCACGGACGCCAGACGGACAAGGCTAAACCCTGAGGAGCTTCGCCCCTAAAAAAAATTATCGATATATTAGTGATTACAACTTCAAACACTTGCGTCAAAGCAGTCCATTCAGTTAGTATTTGGCATGCTTCAGCGCATTCTACAAGGACTAGAAGCTTCGCCCTCAAACCGATGTACAAGTGACGAATAAAGATGTTTTTCGTTTTACTCGCGCACTGAATTAGAGTCACTCTTAGTGAACTTCGCGTGTTCCATGAAAGGGCATGAAAGTGATCCTGATAAATCCACATGAACCAGCGTTGATTTCAAGAAGATAACGGTGTCTTAGAAGGCAATTTACTTGCTGTATACTGACATCACGACCAAGAATAGTCAAAGATCGTGCACTATAATCTTGAGGTCATCACAGTAAGGTCGAGCGCAGACGCTGATAGCGCACGAGCGCTGCGTCAGCGTTCGGCTGGTCCTTGTATCCAATGAACGCGTCGAAGGACGCTCGGCATCGGGCTCGGGTCCAGATGCCGAGTTGACGCCATCCGACTGCCATGGCGTTCCACGGAGGAAGAGTGGGGCTTTCGGAGGCTTTCATTATTCTAGATGGTGGTGATACTGCCCGATACCGTAGGCGCAAACACGCCTTTGGCACTTTTTCGGATTTTGTTTCCAAATGTTACTGGCGGGTATAATAACATACCACTTAATTCAGCTAGTACCCCAACGGGATGCTTTCAACCACTATAGTCTTGATGACACTTCTTCTATATGGAGAAAGAAGACAAAAAGTCAGCGCCGTCTTGTTTGTGCTAACAGTATCACGGAGTATACGTATAGCAAAGTGTAACGTCAAGTAAAAAAAAAAGGCAATAAGGGAGGCTAACTTATGGCCGCATCCACGCATATCAATGAATAATTTTATGACTCGTAAATTCAGCAAAGGGTTAACGTCATACACATTCTTTAGTCTCTTCTCCCCAATTTAAAAAGAAGCTTGTAATTTGTTTCACCTAACGTCCAACGGGAGCGGATGCTACGAGGCATCGTAGCTAATCCAAGGCCATGCGAGTTACCCGTGACTTTCGAGAGGAAGCGCAGTGACGCGCGGGAAAGCGTAGTCACTTGCCAGGTTAGCGAAATCCAGATTGGCTGGGGTGGCTCGTAGCGTATGCTGCGACTGGACGTAAGTCAAGACGAAGTGTAATCACTCGAGACAGACGCTTTAAAAAACAAAAAAAAAACGCTTTATTTTTCTTTTTATTCAAGCTGTTTGGAGGGCGTCGTATCAGCATCCGTTGTCTTAATGATTCTAAGACCAAATTTAAAAGGTGTTGGTTTAGGCCACCGATTTTTAAGAGGATTCTGTATACTAATGCCAGTAACTCTTGAAAGGTGTCCAGTCAGTGAAGGCGGCGAAAGTAAACTTGGCCGTAAAAGAGGAGAAATATATTTTGCACTTGACTATTAAGATATATTTGTAAACTGCGCCCTCTGGTATACTGGAAGGTTTTATCGCAGACGATGGACGTGTCGTTTTGTTGTGTCTACCTTTTTAAGATATAAAGGTGAATCCGAATTGCACTGTAAATAAATCTATAAAGATGTATAAATTACTTCTAGTTGTAATTGCTTCTTATAAAGCACCTTTTGATAGATTTACGAGAGTCAACTAAATAGAAATCGATAATTTTCTAATCGCGTAATCTTGCAACGCACAAAAACAACAAAAACAAAAGGTGGTAAAAATTGAGTAGCTTTCGAGAGCACACAAACTTTCCAAAAAGCCGGGCTTGATCTATCGCTCTCCGCGCAGAGGCGACAACGAGCAATAGCCAAAGAAATCGAAAAAGGGGGACCGAGAGAGCATAGGGGAATTTTTGAAATGGAACGGGTTTCAAAATAAAATCTATCGATTGGTTCCTGCGCTCCTCCCCCAAAACTTTTAGCTGCGGCGCTCGTTCTTCTTTTTAGCTGTCCTCCGTTCGTCTCGCGGGGCAGAGAAGATGGCTTCGCTCTTTTGTCGCCGTCAGTTGCGCCAAGCCCTCGGACACGAACGCGTCAAACGGGAGGCATTCATCTTGGAATGCTCCCCCTCAGGAGCCAAGGTTGGCGGTGAGTGCGGCCCGGAGCGGCCGATTCCTCGCACTTTACAATTCAATTTCCGCCTTGTCGTACAACATGTTACTTTCACCGGCCGCCTCGGCAGCGTCTGCCGGCTGCTTGGGCAATCAATCTCCCGGCTAGTCCTGCTTCGCCTGCCTATTCCAGGCTCTTCCAACTGATAGTGCGGCTTCCCTGCACTGATCCTTGATATTTCGCTCTAACTTTTGGTCTTGTCTTGTTTTGAGTTTTTGCCACGTTAGGATGCCACCACCACACTCTCGTCTTATGCTTAGAGTGAGAGGACTTTTAACGGCGTGATCACTTCCATTCGCTCGGATGCCACCGAGCCCTGTTACGCCCCTTTGGGAAAGAGGGGGGGGGGGGGGTTTCATATTCGAAAGCCGTTAAAAACTTCTGGAACAGAGCCGTCCACTTCAAGAAACGCAAGAAATTTTGAACATCATTTTATGACCCTTAAAGATGGCATTATGTGTACTTTCGACGAATGATCAATGGCCTGTTTAGAGACTAATTATTGATCGGATATATGCATAAATGGCCAGCTGGTGGACTTTGAACATCTTAAAAACCAGAGACCGAGGAACCTTTGTTTTTCAACTCGTATTAGTACAGCCCATAAACTGTGTGCTGAATTGACGATTTAGGCAATTGGTCCAAAAACGACCAGTAGAATTTTCTATTAGGTGAAAATACCATAACACACCTTGATGGTGGTGAAAACGTTTAATACTTTGCATTACATTCTCAAATATACCTGTGATCAAGACTGAATATAAAATAAGTTATGAGCATACTAGGTAATAGATTATTGCAAAATAAAATTCAATGTACAAATAAAAGTCTATACTTTTCTATTTTAAGTTAACTTGTGTGCATAATTAGTCATGAGATATAGTACAGCATGCATTTTATATAGCTTAGACAATTATTTACCGCGTAGCCACATTCTAAAATTCAAAATATTAACGAATGAGGTTAAAATAAAACAACACAATTTTAGGGCGGGTCGAGTACCATCAGTTTTTTAAGTGCATGTCTTATTGAGACGTCTCTGTCTAACATTACTATGATTAAAAAACTTGAACGCGCAATCTGCATTCTCAGGATACTATTAATAACTTAGGAAAGCATATTTATGAGGCTAAAAATTTAACGGCTAATCTTGATAACAAACTATTTCTTAATACTTTTCAGTAATATTTTTATTTACTTTTTTTTTCTTATCATCTTTTTGTGTTGGCTTTACGATGTGTCTTTTGCTGATTATGGCTCTGCAGTCATTGGCGTAACGTATTTAGTCAGAAACAGAATAACAGATGGTCAGTATTATTATGGATCTAAAAATAAGGTTTAAACAGACGCATTAAGCTTGCTTGCTCTGCTGGTGCTTCATAATAGCATTTCATACAATAATAAATACGCGATTTTGTTTTCTAATACGTGGAAAGAGTTTTATATAACCAGACACAAACTTCACATGAAAGATCTTTTTTTTTTTTTTCACGCGCAAAATCTTCTTTAAAATGTCGGCGACTTCTACTCCGAATCGCCATTTCTATGTTTTCATCAACTACATGTCACGATGTACAGAAGGAATAGGTATATGTGAAAGTAGACTGAGTTTCCAGATTTATGTTAGTACTTTGAAATTATTTCGAACTTTTAAGATTATTAAAAAGAAAGAGCGTGGCCTAGCAAGAATAGAAGATAGAGCCCACTTGGGTATATTTGGACTGCTCAAATGACATTTTGCCATAATGTATCAAATCTTCGATGCCTATAAAAAAAAAAGCTTTGAGAGCTTTTAAAAGTTTGAGTTTATCATTTTACATAGTACAATGCTTTTGACGAACTAAATCCCGGATTTAGTTTTAGTTTATATAAAGCCCACAAAACCTTAATGAGTGACAAAAAAAAAAAACTACAAAAGCATGAAAATTGACTTATCACTTTCCTGCAATCGGCGTGTTTGTTTTTAATGTTTTATTTAAAGCTGCGTAGTTATAAATTTAGAAACCGGTTAAGCGACACAAAAAGCTATTCCTATCTGGGAACCTTTCAAAATGTCAGTATCGGGGTACCATAGCTCATTTAAGCAAAAATACACGAAAACACTGACGAGTCCTCAATAAAACCTCAAAATTTACGAAAGCTACAATAAAAAAATGACGAAACCTTAATCTCAAAGTACAAGCACGCAACTGTATCCCAGTTCGAACTTCCATCACAGTCGCAGTGTTACAAGTGCAAGTGAGAGAGGCTTCAAATTTCTTAAAAGGTACCCTTGGCTAGGTTTCAGTTGGCAGCCGACGGTTAGCTACGGCGTCTTAGGCAGAAGAAGCGTCTCTTCGTGGCGTTTTCGTACTTCTTTTAAACAATTAGAGCATCAAAGATTGCATCGTTTGAAGACGTCGTCAGAAAAATGATTCATGCAATAACGTCTATAACATAATACAGGGGTGGCGAGAGTGACATTGGGTTAGAGCCGCTGGCCAAACTACCAAGATTCAGGGAGCCGCAGAGAAAGAAAAAAAAAGGAGGGGGGGGGGGGGTCTATTCTTTACAAGAAACAATATGGAGGGAACCAGGGTATTGAACCGAACCCGAACCTTGAACCGAAAACTGGAGAAGACCGTTATTTTCGCGCGAACTCAGGATGCGTGAAAAAGGCGTGGCGAAAAACACACCCTAAAAAGTACACCGAAAAAAAAAATATTTTCGCGCAAGCCGGAGTTGATCTGGACCGAAATAATTATTTTTTCTTCCCTGGGCGAAACTGATGAATTGTTTTTTGCAGTGTTTTGTTCACATGAGAAGTCAGAAAGCGAGAAAATATGTAGCGGAAAGCTCTGTAACGTTCCATTATCAAGTTTTCACACAACGGTCGTCTTTATCATTTATAAAGTCGAGAACTCAAACGGAATGAGCACAGTAACTATAAATTCTCCGGAATTTCTGGTCTCAAGTATCACTTTACCAAATGTCCACATTAGTCCCAACATTTTCTTTGGGACCAGAAATGGCTGATCAAAGGAAATTTATCCATAGAACATGCCCAATTCGTACGCCAATAATAGGACCAATTAATGAGCCTGTTTGGTGGCAAAACAGTGAGTTGAGCTGGTTTAACAAAAAGACACGGTCAAAGAGAGGTATAGACAACACGCTTAGTGTTGTCTATAACTTTCTTTGTTCTTGTTTGTTTTGCCGTTTAGTCCGAGGTGTGTGGTGTTTCTTTTCTTCAACTTTGTAGAGTTGTGTGATTTTACTTTAAACGCCTTGATTTCATTATACAACTGATCGGATAAGAAAGCGATACAAAGGGCGATGGATATTTTTGAACCTGCACTAGTTGCCATACTGTGGCGCATCCAATATGCTTTTAAAATAACTCAGTGGATTTAATAATCTGTCAGAAATTAAAGTCTATCACCGCGAAGGGAAGGGGGATTCAATCAACAGTTATAGTTACAGAAAACAACAAAACAGCTTCGATATCTGGTAGCAGAAACACCAAGGACCAAAGCGTGTTCTCCTGAGAAACACAAACATCAAGAAGCACAACTCTTCTAAACATTGTTAGACAAGGAGCCGCGGCTTTCAAGGGACGCTAACGTGTTGCACTTTTGGGAGGAGAGAAGGGAACGCTATCCAGAACTTTACGCATTCTCGCAAGTAGTTCTGGGAGTGCCTGCGACCCAGGTCAGCGTGAGCGAGCCTTTTCTGCACTTAAGTTTATGCTATCATCTCAGAGGTGCCGTGTTTCCCCAGATATGCATTACGACTTCCTGCTTCTTCGATCAGCTGCCTGACGTTAAACTGCGCTTTCACGCACGTCCCGAGGTGGCCCAGCACTAGCTCGCTCGTTCCACACAGTAATGTGAGCCTCTGCATTCTATATGTAACACTTTCATAAAATATGCATAGTTTATCTTTTGCCGTCGGGAATTGTTCTTGAAGAATATGAATACGAACCGGTTCGAACCAGTTTAAACCTTTATTTTTTCACTCCGGAGCTCAACCGGAGCAGAACCGTTTTCCCTGAACCGGAACAAAACCGGAACGAAAAACATTTTGGTTCAACACCCTGGAGAGAACAGTCCCTTCCAAAGGGGACAAGTGTAATTTTATTACAACAAGTAACACCAGGCAGCAGAATATTTATTCAACCGCTAAGCAAAAATGAATGGGTTTGCATGTCAGCCACGCCCCTGGCGCCTGTTACGTGTTCACTGTTAGGACTTATTTTAAGAACAACAAAGAAAACAGGGTCACTGGACACATCTATGCGTCAAAAAGCAGTCCAGCTGTATATGCGTAGTGTGGTACAAAACTGCCTAAACTGTGAGTTTTTTTTTTTTTTTTTTCAGAACAGTGTTTGCTTTGGGACACAGGAGGGGAAGCCACGAACTATTTTGTCTCGGGACACAGGAAGAAGCCGCGAGCCGCACTTGAAACCGCGAAGAGCCACATGCGGCTCGCGAGCCGCAATTTGGCCACCCTTGATAATATTTAAGGCAGCAAATTGAAGCATAATCAGGTTTTCGGTAGGAGTACTGGGTCGAGACTGACGTTCAACGATCATCGGTCCGACGCTCACGCCATGTTACGACGAGATAGTGACGAAGACCAAGCGTGCGAAACATTACAAAGCAAACAGACTACGCGAGTGGCCAGTCGATGACCTACAAGTGATGCACTCCTTTTCACGAAAAATGGGAAGAAAAAAAAAGCAGCAGTGGTTGTGCAAAAAAGAAAAAAAAAAGAAAGTAGCGGTGGTTGTGTGTGCGTTTTTCCACACAGACCCCAAGACTGTACCTCCGTTTCACGTCAGCTCCAACCGCAGCAAACGCTGTGACCCATAGGAGAAAATCAGGTGACGCCATTAGTGCTTCGTCGTAACGCTCGTCGTCGTTGTGCCTTTGCAATCACAGGCGCGGGCACACAAAAGAGAAAAAAAAAGCTATGTATATGCTGCGATCATCGTGCGTGGTTGATTCAACCGGTTATGGCAAGCGCGCATAGACCACAAGCGCCATGACGGTATACGTTTGGCGCTGCAAACAGTCTAGTTAAACGCAAGCCTAAAACGGACATGCTCCTGCCAGTGTGATCTCAGAGAAGAGCGAATGCAATTCGATTGGTAGCTTAAACTAAAAGAGGCCGCGCCCTAACGGAAGACAGAATACTCGGGTGCCTCGAATCAATCATCCTCAGGGCGAGCTGATACATTTTCGGCACCAATGTTTATCTGACCTCCTGAATCTATTCAGCAAGGATCTCCACGCTGACTCCGTACTTTAAGTTTCTGTCGAATAGAGTGCCTTGTGTACCATAAATTCACATTGCACGTTCGATGGGACTAAAGACATTACAACAAATAAACCTTTATCCAAGAAGCCTCGTTCTTAAATCGTAAACGTCATAAATAACCACTTGTAATTATCGCTCCGCGTGGCCGTTACATTGCTTTATGTTCAAACTCTATTTAAAATGCAGGTGAAGGGGAGTGTCATGGACAGTTGAGAGCGAAGCGAGCACCACCTGATCTGCTAATGCCAGCAACAAATATTAAATCTGCAAGTTTTTTTTCTTCTTTTTCGTGGCATTGTGTTATAGTTTTGTGGCAGACTGTAAATAACGTGAAAGAAAGGACGTGTGTGCGAATAAAAATGTAAATCACAACTCTCATAGGTATGACTGTGCCTATGTGCCAGTTAAGAAACAAATGCTGTTAATTTGTGAGTTAGTTTTTTTTTTTTTTTAATTAGAGTACCTGGTTGCAATACCCAGGGATCACAAAGGTAGTATTTCGAGGTTTATGTGCAACAACTCTGATAATAAAGGAATCTGTGGCCGTTATTAAAAAAAATTATTGGATGGTCGTAGGTATCTCGTCAAAGATTTGAGCAGTGAAATTGTGCAATCATATTGCTTACAAATTAAAAAGCTCGCCATTTAACTTTACCTATTTACACTGATAAACATATTTTTCTACACATTATTTGATAATGTTTGACGCGCGTCGCCTTTGAGATCAATTCAGGTTAGACGGAAATCAAACTTGGCATATTCATTTGCAGAGTTTTGTCATGCTATACTACCTCCCCCCCATTTCATTCCAGTCATTCAAACATTTCACTTACATGACCGTAACCAGTTACTCCGAAGCTAGTTTAAGTTGACAACAGCAGACCTAGTGTTTTAGAACCGTGTACTTACGCATTGTCGTGTCGCTGATATAAAGGTAAATGTATCACTGGCGCTTCCACTAATTATTATGAATTGGCTGTGCCTCCGAGGCCCAGGCGCAGTACAGTTCGACACGCACACTACGCCTGTAGATAATACGTTTTAAAGAAAAAGAGCGTCGCATTTTGACTTTTAGCATTTTACGCATAGCCTACCCCGTATATCAATACCGGGTAGCAGTTAAAAATGCACAGCTCTTTCACGGTTACCGAGATAAGTTGAAAGGACAAAATTCTTTTTTGATAAAGATGTCACCACCATGGTTCCATCGTTCCTTAATCTATCAGGAACTGCACGTAAAGTTCGGAAGTATTGTATCCTTCAAAATATCTAGAATGAACCCAACGCGACATGTTTTACAGTCCTGATCTCACATTTCAGGTTCGCTTTTGCCCAGCTCAGGGCAATGCGAACGCCTCAACCTCCAGCCGCGCTGTCGACAGAGTGCCAGCTCTCACCCTTGGGAAAAGCGAATCGATGTCTCGGAGCAAGTTTCTCACTCTGCTGCTCAGTGATGCATCAGCAGAGCTCCTAATAAAGCCTTCGTTCTTCTGGAGATCGGGAGCTCTCTGCTCTTTTTTGTTTGTTTTGGTTTTGCGTCAGCCACGAGGAATATTTCTATTTACAGCGTATGAATATCTTATATTCACGTTGCCTGCGTGGAACTCTTGTTATTTTATCTATTCTCAAAGCGACCCCTTCATCCTGTCTGCGGCGATTTTGTTTGTTCTACATGTGATGTTGCCTTGGGCGTAGATTTATTCCAGCTGGAAGTAGCAGGTGCTATTCCTACCCGAACAAAAATGAAAAAGCCGGCTGCTAGGAGCGGCGAGCCCTATCTCTACGAGAATTAGGGTGCATCTTTGGTTTTCTTGAATATTTTAGTATACATTAAATGTTATTTTTGAATGACGCTGTCTAAATCTAGTAACTTATTCAGGTGTTCAGTGCTAGCGCTATGGCGTCAATTGAAGCACGTCACTGTATTATCTTCATGACAATGCAGTGAAGCATAGAAACTTAATTTCAGTCATCTTTCAATAATTTATCTTTATAGGATTAACTTTCACATCCGGCATAGTCTACCAAATAATGAAAATGTAAAATATGAATTTAATAATTTCTGTATTATGGGCCCTAATATTGACACTTCGTAACATAGAAGCATGAAGACAGAATTTTAGTGGTGGTTCTGCGCCAATACAAGCCACCTGTGAAGTGAGGTATCAGAGGAAAATAAGACTTAGATGCTCTCCTTTCAGGGTTTTTTGTACGTTTCCTGAACTTCGCGGTTCATATCTCAGAGCGAGCGTTTTTCCTAATAAAACGGTACACGCACGGGAATCTGCTATCATTTCTATTTTTTATTATAGCATAGATAAAACAAATTGGATGCATATGAATTCAAACTGACTTACATTACTTTTTTTTAAAGTTTCAAGGGTTGTTTTACTAAAAGAGGAGCAAGAGACATAGTGAAAAATGCTGCTGCTGCAGCTTGAAGAGGCCCTACCTCGCCTTGCAGGTCAGCGATGCATGAGGACACCAAGAACATTAATTTGCGATATTGAATCAGATTATCAATACCTTGTACTACGGTAGATTGTTTAAAAGAAACACTAAAATAATAAGGACGTTATAAGTTTTACTTTACTTGAACGAATATAAGTGGTCACCAGGAACTATCTTGTCTTTTTTTCTTAAAAATGGGAAAGGACCATTGAAAGCTTTTATAATCTTACGTTGTATTTAATATAAGAAATGACATTCGAATTTGCTTTCCGTAGTTGATTTTTATTTCGAGTGTTTTCTTAGTGCCATTTTTCGGCGTTCGCTCCGAATGATACTCTTTGGGTATTGATGCAGGTTCTCCTTGTGTATCATCTGAAGTGATATTGAAGTAAAATATGTCAGTCGCGTTTAATACTGTATATTTTTTGAAGAGTGAGTTTGTGTCATACATCAGCACTGTTTTCATGGTTTAGTAATTATGTTGCATTTTAGTAGAACTATTTACTGCTGTTGCGTATGCGATGAGAACAAAGAAACATGCGGGAGCTATTCTCAGGTTAAACCTTAGACGGGGCACAGAGTATTGCTCATTAACACGCGGCGTAGATTGAGACATCCAGTGGCTTTTACAACACAGGGTCTCTTATGTCATCCCTAACACAACTTGAAGGCGAAAGCCCAAGCACCGATCCCGGTGATAGCGAACGTCTAAAGACAGCGCGCTCTCTGACGATGCACTGTTGCCACCGTTAATCTCACGGCATGTCGCACGCCCGCTCTTCACCCCTGCCTAAGCGAGAGTGTGCTCTTCTGCGGTTGGGTTTGCGCCAAGAGCGCCTCCGCCGATTATGGCACAAGTAAGGCCATCTCCTGGTCCCGCGGCGAACCGTTGGTTTTGGTACCTTTCCGGTCGCCGACATGTTTTCGCTAAAGGACCGAATGATGTGACATACGCCTTAACAATTCAGGCACGTTCTGAAATTATTAAGTCAACCATTTACTGACTCGACCAGGAAATTTTTTCTGCGGAGCATCGGCGTCTCTTTGCCACAAACAGCGCAGATATATATAAGCTCTTATGCCCCTACGGCTTTCTGTAACAAATAGATTGGCCGGCGTTCTCTGCCTTTCCTTTGTTGTTGTTCTTAGAGAAAAAGTAAAAATGAAGGCAATTGCACTTTGGAAATGAAAGTTGTGCGCTTCGTGTAAACATGGTGAGAAAATAGGAGAGCCACGGCTGGCGCTACCCATCTTCAAGCCCACTGGCACACTCTCCAATGAGGAGTCCCGGTGCCGACAAGGAACAACGGGAAAATTGGTTCGTTGTCATCTGCGCAGTCCGCGGAAGGGAGGGGGGGGGGGGGGGGGGGAGGGGGAGATTCACTGGCTAATCAGAAAAAAAAGTTATTCGCTTCGTATTTTGGTGTAGGCAGCCGTGCGAATGGAAGATGGCCACTGTCGCAGAGGACAGGCCAGGGCGTTACGACAATGGTTTTCCCTCGAACAAAGACTGATTGGAGGCCGGCTGAGTTGAATTTCCTTAGGTTTGTCTTTCACTAGAGCAACCTGCACACCGCTTACCCTTAGCTGCCAGTGCGGTAGAAGCTATGTGTGCTCGTTGAACCTTTCATATATCTATCTTTAACACGTCACCACGCTCCCGTCCATGCCACTGCGCAGGCTGTAGGGAAACGTAGTACAAGGGAGGCGGTCAAATGGTCCGGCCGGCGCGTAGCTCTTAGCAACGTTGCCTTACGGGAAAAAAAGTATAGAAGAGTGCTCGCAACCATCTGCGGTGTTGCGTGCCTTCTGCTTTGTTTGATCGCCTTAGCGCAAATGACAACGTTGGTTTGCAGATGAGATGCTTTAAAGGACTCTGCCACGGGAATAGAAAGTCTAGTTGAACTCTGCGTGGCTGAGGTACACTCTCCAAGTTGGAGAGAGGCACCCATGATAACGAATGATTTTTTTTTCTGCAGGAAATTAATTTCTAAAATGCGAAACTTGAGGAAGAGTGATTGAGCAACACAAAAAGGTTTAAAATACAACATATTCACTATTTGTCAACGTGCTCACAACAGATCGTTCTCATTGTTGAATATTCAGGACTCTGCTTTTTATTCATTTTTATTTTAGTCGCCATCTGCAGAATATATGACTGACAAAAATAATGATAAAAGTTTCGGGTAAAGTACGCAGCACTGACAAGTTCGTGACAGGCAATTATTAAAAAGGAAGCACGAAATTGTTATGAAAAATGTCATCTAGACTTACATTAACTCATTGTTGGTCGGAGTGACAATAATATACGGTGCTCCAATTTATAAGTAATATGTCTACCTAAAGTAACCCTTACCTGCGTATATAAAATATGACTCATAGGTCGAGCAACATACATCTACTGCTTCCTTGTCATATGCATTTTTACCGTTGCCACTGTAAATACTGCCAGCATGAGGACAGCAAGAGACGACCAATGACATCACACCTACTTGCATCGTAAGAGTCTTTTTTGTTAATGTGCGAAGTTGCATTTCTGCTTTCTGCGTGTTGAATAGTGTTGAGTGACCGTGATTAATCACCATGGGTATAGACATCCAATATTGGAGATTCAAACCACCACTGTAGCTTTAACGTTATTCTTGTCTTAACTCCGTAGCTACTACTCTACTTGTACGAATAGCTGACCTATGTAGCTCTAACGTTATTCTTGCCTTAACTCCAAGAGTAACTACTACTCTACTTGCACGAACAGCTGACCTATGTGAAACTATAGTCGCCGACACTCTAAAGGCCCGTTCATACACTTTTGTTGGGAGCGGCCGCAAGGTTTACGAACGAATGCTACCGTTTGGAACGAGCTGTTAAGCAACGAAGCGCCAAACGGCCGTTTCTTTCGTGTCCGTACGCAACGCAAGGAGTTGAGCCGGGCAGAACTTTTTTGGCTACGTTCGGGAACGAACGGAGCGACCACACCGGCAAACCAATGACAAGTCGATGAGGGCCCGACCGCGCGCGCTGCATGCAGGTCGCGGTTCCTTCTGCCTGATGAAAAACATGGCGTCGGTGGTGATCGACGACGTGGCCGGCGTGGTTGAAGCTCGTCGTTCCGCGTGAAGCGCTATTCTTGACTGTGAATTCTCGTCGTGCGTCGCTATAATAACCCAGCACGTACTAGAAGGGAAGATCCATCTGCTCGTGCAGCAATGGCGTGGCGGCGGTTTCAAGACAGCAGAAACGTTAATGTCGTCGTGTTTGTTTACTTCGACTACAGTGGTGCTTTCTTAGCATTTGCGTCCTCGAATATTGCCCGGATTTTATGTTTTGCGTATTCCATACGTGTGCTCAAGTTCAAGGTATTACTGGTGCGTAGCGTATAAAGGATGCGAATTTTCACGCGTTTTTGTCACCCGAGATAATTTATTAGTCTTAGCAATCGTGAGCACACGCAACGTTTACGTGACCACGAAATTATATTTCAACGTTCCTATATCGCTACTAAGATTACATCGTCTTTTGTAATCCTAAAAAAAGGCATGTGGCAAGATTTGTACTATTCACAAAGTCGTGTGTTAAAGTCGTGATCGTCCGAGATGGCGTACTGCATCTTTTTCTTTTCTTTTTTTCATCCACTCTACCCTTTGTGCCTATCCTCAAGAAAAAAAAAAAATAAAGCTTCTAGTTATAGAAAACTCATTGTCTAATTTCTGTTACTCCAGTGAGTGGCAGAGTGTCCCCTTCTTTTTAGAGGCACCGTTGGAACAGCTGACGGCAGTGTAGAAGTGGTCACTGTTCTTACGACCCGCTGCGCCTGTTACAGTGGTCACAGGAGTGTGTGCTCGCGGCGCAGAGCGGTCGCTCCTGTCACTCCGGTCACAACAGACGTAGTTTCCGATAACTCGCTCGTTGCAGATGTCTGAACCAGCCTTAAGAAATGTAAGGCATGACTTGTCATGTTCACTATTTTTGCTTCGTACTTCGTCCTCTGGAGCTCTTGACGGCTAGTGCCTCAATTTCATTCACTACGGAGCACTTAGAAGG